GAATTTCGCCACGAAACCTTGAATAAAAATTTTAATTTTCCAAATTTGTAGTATTTATACTTGATTTTTTCGTGAAAAAAAATCTTAAGGACAATTCACGCCAAAAAATTGGAAAATCTGAACATTGACAGATATTTGGATTGAATTTTGCAAAAAGGAACCAGGGGCATTGCAATGTTGCTAAGATTGTGCAGCTTCTTTTGTCTTAGAAGAAAAACCCGATGGTCCATAAACAGTTTCTATTTTAATCGCTAAAAACTGTAAATTTAGGACAAAAATTATCCTGGAAATTTCATCTTTTTTCAGGATTTCAATAGTTAAATTGCAATGGATGAAGTTGCACCATCTTACCAACATTGCATTGCTACTGGTTCCTTTTTGCAAAACGAAATCCATTTATGAAATCCTCGAAACTTGTCACCCTGATGTTCGCACCACGGATGTCCACGCACCATGTCCGGATATTACGCTATCCGCGTATATATGGCAGTTTCCGGCCACGTTCGATTGATGACGTGATCGAGGCTAATTTTGGCTGTTTTCAGCTACTTACTAGAAATTCATCGTTCTAACTCTAAAGTTCGGAGTGGCAACGTGGAGCGCCAGAGCAACAAGTCAAAGTTTCCATGGCGTCGTCGATTTTTCCGCGAGGCCCGAGGTTGGAGCCGGGCGTCCTGGCGCTGGCGGCAACACCTACGTGCCCACCTGTTGGCGTGCGGGTTTTTTTAGAAGTGCGAGTTGGGGCACCCGGCACATGTCATCGCGAGACGAGGCGCTGGGTGTAGGGCGTCTCGCATGAGGAGCTTTCGTCGCGCGTCTAGTACGCGCGCTCGCGTAGCTGCCTCCGCTCGTGCCTTGTTCCAGTTCCAGTGCCGCGTCGTCCTCCTCCTAACCTAAATATTCCGCCCAAAATTTCATCTCAAATCGTTCGATTTCACCCCTGCAGCGGGTTGAAAGGTTAACGCGAGGGTCGTAAGAAATTCCAGAGTTGAATTCGTGTTTCTGCGTGCACGTTGATGGTGTATCCTCGTTGTGGATGATTTTGTGAAACTCGTTGTCTCTGGTCGTTTATCAGTGAGTACACTTGTAAAAATGAACTCTTATGTCACGGAAACTCGAATCGTTGAATTGGATAGTGCCCTACTCAGGAAATATGAAATTCTGTTCAATGGGTTGGCAGGGTTTGAATCGAAGCATCGCGTCATATTTTTTCAATATTTGATAGAAAGCAATTAAATAATGCGACGGGACGTTTCAGAAGAATGAAAATATGCAATTCTTATCCTAAATTTTGCCGATTTTAGTGTGTAAACAGAAGTAACATTATACGTAATGTTAAATTCGAAATGCCCATCAGTTTCTTAGTAAAAGTACAATTTGCAAGTAGAAATTTTGAAACGTCGAATTGTAGTTCGGCCTTCCTGGGAAACGACTAAGTTCTGGTATACCGAAGCACATCAGGAAATTGATCAACGGTTTCAACTTGCTTTGAATCTTTGGTCCATCATCGATATCATAACTAAATTTTGCAATAAGAAACCACTTGCTCTGCCCATTTTAGAAACCGCATATACCATATCAGCATATGCAGATAAGCGATTTCATAGATGAGCCAGAAATAGCGGTTCCTCATTGCAAAATTTGCCCTTGTGAGGTGTGTGCTTTCATTAGTCGAAGGGCTCGTCATGTGGCTCCACAGCCTACTTGTCGGTAACGCTGATGACTCGATGACTCATATCGATTACGTGTTCGATGGCGGAGGAAAAAAAAAAACAGAAAATCGAACGCCAAGTTTTCGCGAGACGGAATTATTTACAGTGGCACGCCTCGCTCGGTCCGCCTAGACCGCGGTGCGTTGGCGCGTTGCGTTGGCAAGTTTCTAACTTCGCCGTTGAAATGCTGAAATTTTAAAACCGATGCCCGATTCATGTGCCGTCAGCCAATTTCCCTACCGAAACGCCACGTTGCGCCGTAAGAGCACCTTGCCGCGGGGATTTGCGCTTCCACCACTCTGTCGGGCTAAGGAAAAACGCCGTATGAACCTTCAGGCGTTGCCAAATTTCCTCTCATAAAATGCGAATTTCCTGGTAAATTTATGAATATATTCCTCCCAATTTCCAGATAATTTAGTTCACAATTTTATCTGAAGATTCTGAACATCTGAAGGGAAAATATTCACAAAATTTCCTTAAAAATACACACTTTATCGAAGGAAATTTGGCAACTCTCGAATGTTCATACGGCTTTCTTCCTTAGCACGGCAGCACTGCAACTTGTGTTAAATGTCGCGAGAAACACGATGGTGCCTGCCATTGGTTCTTTCTGATACAAAGCTCTCAAAGTTGAGGTCTTAACGGTCAGTATCTCCTACGTTATAAGAGAGACCACCGCTATCTTCAGTCTTGATTGCTCTGATGGTCAAATTCCGAAGTCTAACACTTCTTCCCTTGCTAGTATGGGACATTTTGAATTGCATGTGAATACCGAATTAGACGAACTGCTTTGTGCAAGTGAAGAGAATTCGGATGGAGCACATAATAGCGTCGACTGGAATTCAGTTTATCAATTTCCTCGAAAACATAATTTAGCTCCAAACAGTAGCGCGAGCAAGAAATGGACTCAGGGGTTCTGGAACGACCTTCCTCTCATGATCCAACAATTTTCCTAACGACCAGGCATTAATCGTCGCGGTATGTCAGAGAGCGGGGCTTCAAGGAAGTCAAAAAGTTCGCAGAATAAGTTGGGGAATTCCCAAGGAAAATTGGGAAATTCCGCGAGTAGCACGTCGGGTCAGCAACTTCAAGCGGTGTTATGCGAGAGCGTGGACAACTTCCGAGTGCCTTTTTCTATAATTTGGATACCTTGAAGTGGAAATTTCGCCAAATAATTAGCACCAGTCAGCGTAATTGGAAAAAAATAACAAATTAAGGCCTAGTGGAAGTTACGTTTGCAGGTCATGAAAAAATCGGAGACTAAGGCAATTTTGGAGTCAGGGAAATGAAACAAAATGTCAGGGGAAAGACAGAGAATTGGAAATCGAAGTAATTATTGAAACCCTATTAGAGACCATGAAGATTATGGTAGCCCTAAAAAGATTTCCAGTGAGAAATTATATTTATATTTATTGAATACACTCATTGTCTGTGGAGTCCAATAGAAATGTTTTCTCTGTGCGCACCGCACCGTTTGTGCACGGAGACGATGGGAGCTCGATATAATTGAAGTAAAAACTAAGTTTAATAGACGTTAAAAATAAATTTCCGCTTCTGCGTGAAACTGAAGCGTTAGCGCT